TACAGGTGTCCCGTGGATCCAGGAGAAGAGAAGCATCTCTGCAACGTTTACAAAATTCTCTTTCCCCTTTTTTTTTTACAGGTGTCCCGTGGATCAGGGGAAGGGAAGCCTCTTACACTTGAGCAATTTAGCACTTTTTCTGTTTTTTTTTTTGTATTTTTTTTTGTATTTTTTTTTCCCCTTTTTTTTTGGGATTCGCCAAGACCCCCCGATCCCCAACCATGGCGGGTTCCATCTCTGCGGAAAAGGACCAACCCAGGAAAAGGAAAAAGAAGAAGCCCACAAGTAGTAAGTGTTTAAGAGGACACTGGGCACGGAGAAAGGGTGTGTGTGACGTCGTGTCAGACTCTGTCTCCCACTTAACATGTCGTTTGTCCACTTAACAATGTCTCCCCCCCACGCAGAAGGCAAAAAGACCGAAAAGGTAAAGAACCCTGAAGAGGACAACAAAGAGCTGTACACGGAGCAGGTCCAAGAGATACTCGCGCTGAATCATATTTACTTTCCGATCTATGTGGACCGTGCAGGGTAAGTCTCGCTGCTCCTGCCGCAAACCGCAAATGGGACAGAGACACGCAGGGGCATGCCCGACTGGGTGGCAATTGTTGTCTTACGTGTCCCATGGGTGCTACCCCTCATCGCTGCTCCCGCTATACATGACCGCTACCCCCGCTACACGTCACCGCCGCTCCCCCTACACGTCACCGCAGGCACATAAAGAAGGCGCACTTGCCAAGCGACCTGATGAGCAAAGAAGAATACAATGAAAAGAACAAAGAGCTGACCGCGGCAGTAGTACCAATAGAAATGAACGACGAAATAAATGAAGAGAGTTGTGTGAAATTTTGCATATTCTTCAACTACGACAATGACTTACCCAAGTACAGAATTACATTTGCGTTTGAGAACAAGTACCCCTACTCTTACCCTAACATTTATATACACATGAGTAGGGCCCTGAGCAAGGAACAAACAACCCACCTGTCCTTGAACATAAAAAAGATTTGCGCTAAGAACTATGGCAGGATTACTCTGTTCGATATTTGTATGTATGCACATGAATATTTTAATAAACTTTTGAGTCACAATTTTGAAAATCTGTGGGAAGAAATGAAACACAGGATTGATGATTTGAGTAGGGGGGGGCATAGTCCAGATAAACCTGTACCAACGTGTGTGAATCGGAACGACGTTCCGGGGGGGGTAACTTTGTCCGCGGGGGGGACAACTATGGCCGCTGGGGCGGGTGGGTTGTGGTCTTATTCTTCTGAATATTTTAGAACGCAGAGGGGGGGTGGAGTGACATGGTTGGAAGAGGAGCAAAGGAGAGAGGCAGAGCTGAGAAACAGTAGCTGCGGAACCCATGGGAACGGTGGGGATAGCGGTACGGGTAGCGCTTCCAATGTGCGCACGCATGGCAGTAGCAATGGCAGCAACGGGTATAATGTAGCCCCCCAGCAGCGGAAACCTCGCCACCCCCCGTGTGAACGGCACAGCGGACACCAATCCGAGAAATACCGCCACATGGCGTCCGCCCAGGCGAGGTTCTTCCAAAATATACATGAGTCGAATAGCATCTCTGGGTTTTCATCAATCAATAGTTGCGTGTTGGGAGGAGAGGAAGAGCATTTAAATGTTTGTACGAAAAAAAAAAAAGAAAAAAAAACACAAGTCCGAAAAATATCACAAGATGAATTGAAAAAAGAAACATTCGAATCAAATGTACAAAGACTTATCACACATGGAAATGGAAGATTAAAGCATTTTCAAATTTTAAAAAAAAAAAAAATAAGTTACTACAGGAATAGGTTGCTTGTAAGACACAACATAGACACGAACATGTATATAATTCACACCTATGCCGTTTTAGGCGTTTTTGATTTTCTGGCTTTTTTTTTAAATCACCTGCTGCACTGCAACAGGGGCTTCAACTTGTTTTGCAACCTCGGTGAGAGGAGCGGGCGGGATGTGAGAGCGGTACAGGAGGTGGCGAACAGGACAAACGCGGCCAACGCAACGAACGGGGCCAACGAGGCCAACGCGGCCACCGTTGCCGACAACGTGGAGAGGAAGAAAAAGAAAAAAAAAAACGAAAAAAATGAAAAACTCTTCACGGACTTTTTAAAAGACATCAACGAATTCCGCACACAGAAAAACAGCGGAAAGCTCTGCGACCCCTCATGCCTCGATTACTTCTGCAGTGAGTACGAACTGTATGCGAAAAAGCATTGTCTAGTGAGCACAGACAACGAGAAGACGCTTCTACACGTGTTGAACGAGCTGAATTTCGCTCGATTAAAAAAGGTGGTAAAGCATTTTCGTATGATCCAAAAAATGAACTTGAAAAAAATTATCCGCGAAATTTTAAAATTGACAAAAATTCAACACAAGTACTTGGCCAGGTACCACGTCTCCTGGTCCCAGCGGGAGCATGTCGAGCTAAACGAGGACCTCGATGAGAACAGGGACATGTGCAGGGTGTTCGAGATGTTGAAGATACTCATCCTGGGCAGAGTGTTCCGCAACTGTGAGGTGGGTGGTGGGTATGTGGATGAGGCAACGGAAAACAAAGATACGCACATGTGCGGGCACGAACAGGCGAAGCGAATAGAAGAGCTTTTTCAAAAGGTGCGAAACAGGGACAACTGCGAAAGTGAGCAAAGTCGTGAAAGGAAAAAGGAAAAGAAAAAAAGAGAAGTCATGGAAGGGAGTAGCAGCGCCGCGCGCGATGTAGACTCATCTCCCCAAAGTGTAAACAGCTTCAGTCGAAGTTACACACTTCCCGATGGGAGTAGCCCCCACCAGAAAGATTGGAAGAAGGCACACCACCCAAACAGCATTGACCACAGACGGAGTAGAAGCCCCGGAGGGATTCAAGACAACCATTGTAAGGACTCCCAGGAAAAGGCGAAAATGAAAAACAAAAAAAAAAAAAAAAAAAAAACGACTCTTCCACTGCACTTGGCTTCACTTCAACATTAAGTGAAAGCACAAATAAAAGAAAGAGCACACTTGAAGACACGAGCAGCGGGAAGGAGAAAGACACATATGAGGACAACAACACTAATAAACCCTCGCGCACAGAACGAATGCTAAACCAGAAAATTAAGTTCATACAAAGGTTAACAAGCAAAAAAGAAAAGAAAAATGACGTCCTCTATGTCCAGTGTGAATACTGCAAGGGAGAAATATTGGAGAAAGAAATTAAAAGAAATTTTTTTCAACATAATAAGTACCTCATATGGACTGTTTTTAGGCAAATATTAGAGTGCCTAAGTTACCTGCACAAGAGGGACATTTACTTGAAGAATTTAACCACTCGAAATATGTTTGTGCATGTGGATCAGTACGGAATTCATATAAAGATTGTTAATTACACTGCGTGTAATTTGATTGGTTATATTTATTTTTACAGTTCTTCTTATGAGCGCAACTGCTCCTACATGGCTAATTTTGTGAGAACCTTTTACGGCGCAGAGGAGAGGGGTGACAAGCGGCGTGACGACCCACAGGGGAGGGACGCCTCGGGAAGAAGCAGGAGACGCCACGAACCGGGGGAACAAACACTCCACGCACAGACAGCCAAGAAAAACACCAAGGCGGACAAAGGAGCATCCAAAACACAGCGGGCACCACACACTCCGCAAGAAAAGGGTGAAAAGGAAAAGGGAGAGCAAGAAGCAAAGGGAGAGGGAGTAGAGGAAGAAGCAAAGTGGTCGTTCTTCTCCCACATGAAAAGCCACATGAGAAAGACGCTTCTGGAGGATCAAAAGAATCATTCCACGAAGAGCGACACGACGCAGAAACCAAAGGAGCAGAATGAATTCTATACACACACCTATAATCAACACCTATACAATTGTCTAGCTAAACACAAGTACAGCTACGAGGAATTAGACTTGTTTTCTCTTGCACTAGTCCTGTACGAAATGTTGCATGTCCCCTTTAAGTCACCAAAGGAAAAAATTATAAACTTGAGGAACATGATTGTAAACAAAACGTTCCCAGGGGATTTTGTGAAAAATGCTGGTGATGATGGAGCTGTTAAAGTTTTGAAGTTTATTTTAATTAATACTGTTAGCGGCTGCCTCGAGAAGGAGCCACTTGGGAGATTGCAGTACCCGGACATTTCAGATCTGAGCGCGAAGACGGACGATTGGAAGTGGAGTCCCCACCCCTCCGCCGGGGATAGAAGCGGAGACAGAAGCGTAGACAGAAGCGTAGACAGAAGTGGCAACAAAAATGGCGACAAAAAAGGAGACAACAATCAGGCCCGGCTGGCCAGCCAAGGGAGAAAAAAAACAGAAAAAAAAAATGCCATCGCCGTAGGTAGTTACAGGAAGGCAGAAGGAAAAGAAAAGGAAGGAGGAGACGTACGTTTTAAAAGTGCCACCTGTACCACTGCATGTGCTCCCCCTCCCGGCGGCCGCGCAGTCTCTGCCAACCCGGATGCGGCAGACCTATTGCTTAGCCACCCCAATCAATCCCTCAAAGGGAAAGTGGAGGCGGTGAAAAAAGAGGCAGCAAAAAAAGAGGAGGGCCAAAAAGAGACAGGCAAAACGGACGTGTCTACAAAGGACGGTGAAGGGAGACACGGAATATCGGCGGAGCAGCTCCTCAACTGCCCCCTCATACCGATGGTCATCCAGAGGGACCTATTTAAGTACTTTTTACAAAAATTGAAAATAAATTCCCCGTTGGAGTGTAAAAACGTGTTAACAGTTTTGCTGAACAAGAAGAAGGAAGGAAATGAGGAGAGACTCATGGGGACAAATAGAAACGTCATGGCCTACACCAACGTCCGTACCTATGAGTACGATGTGGTCAGTAGCTACGTGTTTGATCATATTAGCACTGTTTTGTTAAAAAAAAACACAACGCATAATCACGCCCTCGCCTTTCTGTTGCATCCGGGAAGGGGAGGAGGTCCATTAATAGAACAAAACGTGGACAACAATTTCGGGCAGAAAATTGCCACCAATTTTATTAAAAGGATGGAAGTGAAGAAGAGGAGAAGTGCGAGGGGGGGGAACAGGGTCTACTACTCCAAGTACGAGCGGGCGGGGGGTGCTAAGCATGGCCATGATCATGATGGCGGCAAGCATGGAGGCTATCAACATGGCGACGACCAGCAGAGCAGCGAACAGGAGGATATTCCAATCGGTCTGCACGTGGACGCGCAGGAAAGGGGGGGAGGAGGACGCCCACCAAGCAACAGCCCCCCGTGGGAAACACAGAAAAAAACAGAGGGAGAAAAAAATGGCCCAATATTAAACCGGTCAAAAAAAAGAATTGTTTTCATTGACAAAAATAACAAGCTGCTTTACGTTCCATTTTACCTGACCGAGTCATACATGAGTGCAATTGCCCACGGCACCCAGGGGAAGAACTTTAGCAGCTCGTTTTTCCTTTCGCAAAACCACTTTCTGCAAAGCGGGCGGCAGGAGATTGTGCGTCGGGAGAACAGCGTTTTGTACAGCAGCGTGGTGCGAGTGGACAATCGGGGGGACCTCCACTTCGGGGTGAGCACTGTGGGCGGCACCAGGAAGGGTAGCGGCGCAAGGAAGCGTAGCAGTGCGAACCGTGTGAACAATACCTGCGAGGCCGCCCCTGACGCGCACTGCTCCAACCACGGCAGTGAGAGCGAGGGCGGGGACCCTGCGCCTGGGCATGAGACACACATCAACCTGTCCTTCTGCGTGTACCAGCTCATGACCCTACACAATGTGCTAAGCATACTGCACCGATTCGAACACTACATGGGAAAGCTTACCATCAAGTGGTCCTGTACACATATGGTCATGCAGATCATCCGTGACATTTTATTTATTGACCAAGACGAAACAGCTAGATTCATTTTAACCCAATTACGGCAGCCAAATATCAAGTACAAGCATTTAAAAAAGCTATTGTACTTTCTCAACATAACCTACGACGACAGAGTTTTGAAAAAATTATTCTCGGTGGTAGTGGACACCTCAGACAACCTAAAGCAGAAGATGCACAAGGTTATAAAAATGTATTTTATATTAGACCATCGGCACAAGAATTCCATTAGCTATTTAGCTTCCACTATCATTTATATGGACAGTTTATTTGAACACTTTAACACTTGCAAAAATACATTTGTGTGGGACTTGTTCATGAACGAATATGAGCAAGTGTTTTTGTTTTCCTTCTCCTTTGCTATTTACCCCGAGGTCGATCAAGCTGCGCTGCTGTCCATGGGAGGAGTTTCTACAGAAGCCTTTTCGCTTTCCTCCGAGCGCCCTCCCAGCGAGGCTACGTATAATTTTGTGTACGAGATTTTCGTGGACACCATCTCGGCGTTGATACTCCAGGTGCGCCTCTTCGAAAAGTCGCGCCATAAGCGTATGTCGTCTTCACATCTCTTCGCCTTTTTTCGCATTTTTTTTGTCACGTGTGCACCCCCTAAACGCGCTTGCCACACTTTTCCCCCCCCTTTGCAGAAAGTCCGGAAGAACAACTGCGCCAGCATGCACATCGACTTCCACTCGCCCAGCGTGGTCATCACGACCAAGGCGTACAAGCTGCTCGTGTACGCCTTCTCCCTCTACAACAGCTTGATTCAGAACGGCATCAAGGTAGGGGAACTCGTCACCGAGAGGGCGTCTCCATATAAGTGTACACTGCCTTAATGTGTGTTCTACCTCGCTTTAAACGACCGCGTTGAAGCATTTATTTTGAACGAGCCGCTTTAAACGAGCGCTTTAAAGGAGTCACTTCGAAGCAGTCATTGTGAACGAGCCACTCTTCACCTCCGCGCTCCCCCCCCACATCCCTCAGTGCGAGTGCAAAGTCTCCCCCCTTGTCGAGACGTCCAAATTCGAGCAGGGCCTCCTCAAGTACAGCGACATAAACATACACGTACAGATAACGCAAAAGGTAAACTCCAACACATCGCTGAACATAGAAGATTACGAGGGATCAGCCGAGACCATCACTTCGAACATAGTTGGAGAAGAAAACGTAAACATCATGTATAGCACCCACATCATTCGCTTGAATATAAAAAAGAACTTTGAAAACGAGTCCTCCCTCATCAACTATATAAAGCAGTTTTACGCGAAGCGCTGACCCATAGTGAGATGACAAATGGGTTTTTCTTTCGGGAAGTCTTTAAATGTTTTTTTTTTTTTTTTTTTTGTTTTCCCCGGATCCCCCCACGGGGCAGCCATTTGTGAGCCCTACACAAAAATAATGACTGGCTAGTCGCCTTGGCATATCATCCGAACAAGTATTTTTATATATATATATATTTTTTAATTTTTTTTTCGTGTTCGCGTTCGCGTTCGCGTTCGCCTGTTTGAGGCCCCAGAGCGAAGGTACATTCACCACGCGGTGTGTGCCCAAGGGTCTGCGCCTGGGCACGGGTCGCGACGACCGCGTTTGTCGTTCTGGCTCGCTTGGCCTCCTAACTGATCAACCCATTAACCGCTCAACCGGTTCGCCCATTTCACTCGGGCAACTTATCACGAAAACGAGGAACACATGGCTGACCGTAAAGCCACCTCTACAAAGTTGGCGTTTTAGGGAAGTCGCCAAGGAGGAGAAACTCCTCCAGGGGATGAGTCTACGATTGTGTATATGTATGTGTTGTACGGTTATAAACACGGAGGAATGAGTCAGGTTCGCCTAAGCATGGCTACACACCGCACGAGTCACTCCTCGTCCCCTTGACACTACGGAAGGAGATGACTCTCATGAATTGCCTTCTCTTCTTCGGCTTCTCCGTCTGCGTGTCTGGATTCCGCATAGATCAGGTACGTTCCCGAGGCGTAGAGTCATCGTGCGATAAATACACGCAAGGGGCTTTAGTGGGCACATTTGTACTCACCCCCCCCCCCCCGGTGCTGCTGCAACGGCCATGCACCTCGCACAACGATTACCGGGGAAAGAAAAGCGTTGCAACACTGTTAGTTCTAAGTTGAGGAGTCATTGTCCCATTTCTGTGGGTACGCGTGCGCGATGACAGCTAGCCAAAATGACACAAAAGTGTAAGTGTTGGTATATATTTTATTTTATTTTTTTTTTCCTTTTTGGCTAGCTAACCACATTTGCAAAAAAAGCGACAGCACATCCCCGGGGAATGCGCAGAAGGACTGTCTTCCATCTGCGCATGAAAAAGGAAGACCCATGTGTGCAGAACAAAAACTTTATACGCATCGAATTCCGCCCTGGAGTAGGGGGAGAAGAAGCGCTGCTGTGGTCACGGGAGCTATTAAATGTTAGTAAATGTAGATCAGCCGGACACATATTTTGTGTGTGCAGAGATATGTAACGCTGTTGACAGGCCTTCTGCACCCCCACAAATCTATTTAATAATATTGTACTGTATTTTATCTTATTCAATCTGTCCCCCTTTTTCTTCTTCCACGTTCAGACGTACAAAACATTTGCGGAGAGGATAAATTGCCGCGCCGAACGAGTCCATGTAAGAGGAGGCGCACTTCCCCATGGCATCAATTCTACGTTTTATGCCTCTCACCATGCACATCATATGTTGGGCGGTGGGTGCTAAATAGCGCGATTGCTCAGTTGTGAAGATGCGAAAGAGTTCACTCTTTGGTCGATTCCATCCTGCAGGACGCCAGCGAGTCCCTCGTTGTCACATCCCCCTCCGACGTGTGCATAACCAAGGAGGAGCAGGAAATCAAAGCAAGCCTCTATGATCTCTTCAAAAATGAGAGCGGGATCCACCAAGTGAAGAGGGTTCCTCGGAATGAGTCCAAGGTACTAAGGGACGACACTCTCCGTGAAGAAGGAAAAACATAGCAGTTTTTCCCACATGAAGAAGTTTGTGTATGCTGTACTGTCTTTCCTACTCATCTGAACTCTCACTCTTCACCCTTTCCTCTCTCCCACCGTCAAAGGGCAAAATCCACTCGTCCACGGCAACGATTGCAGTTTTCCTGCACCAAGACGAACACAGGAAAGATGAAGTCAATTTAAAGGACTTGAAGATCACGACCTTCCGGTCGAGCAAGCCAGGCGGGCAAAACGTTAACAAGGTACGTCAACAGGGTTGTGCCCTCTGGTGAAGGGGGATCAGACTACAAAGTGGAGAGATATGGTACAACTACCGAGATAGAACACGTCCTGACTCCTCCTAATTTGACCAACCTCTCTCCATTTGTACCACCCCCGTAGATTGAATCAGGTGTGTCCATCCTGCACAAGCCAACAGGGATTAAGACTGAATGTCAAGAGGAAAGGTTACACATCGCGAGAGAAGGAAAAAAAAAAACTTTTGTAACGCTAACAAAATGATCTAGTTCACCCACGTGTACATATCATTTCCCCCCTTTTTTGTAGGACTCAAGAAATGAACAAAAAAATTGCCATGAAAAGGTTAACTCAGAAAATATTCCAACTTCGGCATAAGGAAAGTGAGGAAGAGATCCGGAGTGAACGAGCCAAATTGGTAATATTTTCTTGAAAAAAAAAAAAAAAAACAGCGATTTTGTGAGAGTATGTGTGCACGACTCGGCGGAACGCAACCTCTGGGGGGGACAAGCACCTCTTTAACTTTTCAGTTGTACCTATTGGCCCAGCTCCACAAGAATGCCTTGCGGCTCCTCATACATGTACACACATTTCAGATAAAAGACAGTAACCGGAGCAATCGCATCAGGACGTACAACTTCTTCAGGGGGTATATAACTGACCATGTGACGAAACGGAAGTTTGACTTGATGTACTTCGTAAAGGTGAAGTTGGAGTTTTTACTCAATGTGGATCGGTAGGCACGTTGCTAGCGGGACAACAAACAAAACAAAAAAAAAAAAAAAAAAAAGAAGAAGAAGAGGAAGGCGTTGCATGCACAAGATAGGGTACACATGAATGCGAGGAACAAGTTGGCCATTCCCTTCCCCCAGCAACGAACTGCCCATGCGGAAATGTCCACCTGTGTGTGTGGGGGGTCCCCAATGCGAGGAAGCCATTATGCTCTACGCAGTTGCAACGGATAGGACGTGGTATGTGTGGGGTGCACATAATTAAGTAGTAGTTCAAATTTGTGCACATGTCGAGGCATCGTCGAAGCGGAACACAAACAAGCAAATCAACTGACAGGAAGGTCGAAGATAGGGAAGCTAGCCAAACAACTCACTAAAAAAGATACAAAAAAAAAAAAAAAAAAAAAGTTAAGCAATATTTTTACGACAATAGCTAGCTATCATGGTAATACTAATTTTCCAACTGAACAAGATGGAATGGAAAAAAAAAAAAAAAAAAAAGCGTCACATCATCATGCATTTGTTTTTCGTATTGGAAGAGAGACTTTCCATAGGCAAGTCGTTAATTTCCTTCGAGCAGGTTATAACTTTGCCAATTTTTAGAGGTTCCCAAAAATTCTCCTGTGCATACTTGGAATGGAAAGAATAATCCACAGAGACATCATCACCTGCTTTTTTTAAAATGCAATTAATCCCACCTGGGTGATAGCTCAGGATCGTTGTCACGTCGTATACGTACCCATTGGCCATCACCCAGCAGTCATTCATATCGCAGTGTCTTTTAACTTCACATTTGGTAAAATACTGTTTATACTTGATATAATTATCGTATTGAATTTTTTTTTCTTCCCTTTCGCACTCGCAGTAGGGGAGACTTTTGCTCTTCCTGATGGCGTCCTTTAGCGTGTCGTACTGGTTTCTCCCTTTGGGTGTTTCCTTTTCGTCTCCCTGGCCGTTGGGGTTGCTCTGTTCTTCCTGCGCGGGTTGTGGCGTGTTGTCTTGTCCTTCCACTGCCTGTACCGTTTCCAGCACTTGGCGCCGCCCCTTGCTCTCCCCATCCGGGAGACTCCCCGCCAGTATCTCCGCCCGCGCCTTCATGTTCAACTTGAGCACGAGCTCAAATTCTTTTCGGCATATCCTTAAGTTGTGTTTTTTATATTTTTTGTATTTTGCGTAGAGATTTTTTCTCTTTATTTTGCACCTTGCGCAGAGGATGGAGAAGCACACGTCTTCGCAGAAGTTGCAGGCGTTGCACTTGTTATTGTCGTCGTCTTCGTTTCCTTCGTGCGGGTCATCTGGCGGGTCACCGGCTGGCCCATTCGGGGTGGTTTCACCTACGAGCGGCGGTTCACTTGAGGGGGGAAGCATTTCCTTCTGTTCACCTTCCTCTGGGCTGATCAACTGGCACACCTTCCTCTCTTGCCCCCCCTGGATATCTCCCACTCCGTGGGGTGTCACTGGGGGGTCTGCCCCTCGGACGTTTTCGCTGTCTGGTTCTTCCTGTTCAGCGTCCTCCATTTTTGCGAGCGAATTCGTTTGGCAACTTGGCCTGTGCACCACTTGGGGAATCAGCTGGACCCCCTACACCCTGTCGCTCTGTCCCCCCAGGAAGGCTGCAAAAAAAAAAAAAAAGTCACTCGCCGGTGTCTGCGTGTGAGTGTTTTTGCAAATTCTACAGAGCCCCCCCCCTTTTCTATACTACAATAATCGATCGGGGGAATCAACCCCCACTCTTGTTCTTTCCTTTCTGTGAGGAAAAAACTGGGACAGCCCTTTTTTTTTTCTGCGTAATTATTTGTGCGTGTAGATGTGCGCGCGGCCACATGGTTGTGCGGTTTGGTAATAACTACGACTTCGTTCTGGTGGTACTATATTTTTTTTTTTTTTTGTCCTTTTTCATGTGTAATGCTTGCTTTTAACGGGGAACACGCCTCCCATGGTGGCCTCGATTGACCCGTGGAGAAAAGTAACGCTTGAAGGCCCGATTAATCATTCAATTTGGCGCATCTGTGAATGCCCTGCGTTTTCCCGTTTCTTCCCTGTGGTGTCATTTTTCCCTTTAAACGTTGCTCGCGTGGAGGAGCGGTCCAACCTGGAGAACACCTTCCTAACTGTTAGCCCCTCTCAACTGTGCCTCGCCCCACACTCACATGTAGCACGCTAATTTACCCGCAATATTTTTACCCCGTTGTATTCACTCTACGCTGGGGAACAGCTGTGAAAGGAAAATTGAATTTCAAGGAAAATGGCAACGTGCGGATACGAAACTCTATTCTGCAGTTTTCGTAAAACGCAAAATTATGAATTGTTCACGCGACATCCTCCGTTTGTTTCTTTTTCGTAACGTAACGTAACGGGGTTAGTGCAACATTGAAAAAAAAAAAAAAAAAAAAAAAAAAAAAAAATGAACGAATGAATGAATGTATAAACAACTGATTGGCACAATACGAGAATCTCCTTTGTGGCGAGCTACATTACAAGTTTATGAATAGCGATTGGGGGAGACTTTTCCCCCATTTTACGTTGCGCAGCGTGTTTCTAAATTCTACGCAGTGAAAATATGAACAGGCGAACCTTTTACCAGATAGGTTAAGCTGAAGAGAGGTGTTTTCACCGGGTTTATATCCCTCCGCGTTCAAACATGCATTGTGAAGTGAACACCTGTCGAGGGAGAGCCACGTGAAGGGATTTGCATATGTGTGCCAATCCACTAGAAAAGGAACGAAGCAGTTTTTTTGTGGTACGCTGTTTTTTTTTAATGATTTGTACATGGGGTGTTGGTATGCTCCAGATTAAGGGGAAAGCATCTCGTTCTAGCGTAGACGTGTGTAAGTCGTTTCCACTTCCTCGTTACGCTAACCTGTAGAGGGCGGTAAAGAAGTGCACCTGCTTTTCTTCACAAGTGTGACTGTGCGACCGTGTTATCGTGTCCCCCTCCCGTGCACAGATTGCACATAAGGCATGCTCGCAGTTGCTGCTCTAGTTAATCCTCCCACGTCTTCTCCTCCGTACATTTGAGAGATTTAAAAAAAAAAAAAAAAAAAAAAAAAAAACATTTGAAGGGGCACTCGTTGTCTGTCGAGATAGATCCGCCTGGTGCGTAGTAGAGCCCAGTGAGCAACCATGGCGCAGCCGCTGAAGAGGGCCAAGCTGAACAGCGAACAAGCACAGAACATCTACTTCCAAAGCGAAAACAACATGAGCGTGCACAACATCTCGATGAATGCTACCCTGTGCTCCTCCCTGAACTTGGATAATCTGTACAAACACTTTGCTAATTGCATTTACAATCCTCGAGAATTCAAGTGCATGCGAATTGACGTACCTGTGAGTACTCGTAGTATAAAGAAGTACGTGCGGTTCATACGTGAAAAGGGGGAGAGGCAGAAGAGGAGCGAAGGGTTTGTGGTATCCTCTGATGGGATTCATGTAGTTACACCTCCAAAGGGGGGAGAGGTCACAATTAACAAGGGCGATGCCACCATTAACCAGGGAGAGGACGCCATTACGCAGGGGGAGGTCACCATTACGCAGGGCGATATCACCCCCCAAGAGCAGAACCATACGAACGAAAAAATTATTATAAACGTGTCCCTTTTTGCCAATGGGAAAATCATTTGCACAGGAAATAATTCCATCGAGGCTTGTAAAATAGCTATGAAGAAAATTGAAAGAAAGTTGAAGCAACTGAATTTTAAAAACATAAGTATAAAAAATGTTACTATAACAAATATACTGGCTGTGTATAACGTTGGTTTTTCCATCGTGTTACCCCTGTTCGCGCAGTACTACAAAAGTGTAGGTGCTAGAGAGAAATGCTTTGGAGCGTTCGTTTGCGGCTCTGTTATATTTGCGCGTCGCTGTGTCGGTGTCTGTATATGTACTTTTTTTTTTTTTTTTTTTTTTTTTTTTTTTCGCGCCACACTAACGCTTCCGTACATGTTGTTCTCCTGTCCAGGTCGACTATGACCCCAATGTGTTTCCGGCATGCAAGGTGAAAATCGCTCTCATGAATGAGAACGAGCGGGACACGTCCGAGGCGAACGAGGTAGGCCATTCGCGTGCCGTTCATGTGGCAAAGCGGTTCATGTTCATGACCTCTAAACCGCTAATCCGTGAAGCCGCTTCATCGTGTCATCGCCTCATCGCCTCATCGCCTCATCGCCTCATCGCCTCATCGCCTCACCGCATCTCTGCTTTACACCATCCCGCTCAGCAAGCCGAAGGGAACCTGGCCTGGAGCAGCGCCCGGAGCACTGCGGAAAGGAGCCGCATCAAAGTGGACGTGGTCTCAGCGAGCATATTTTCCACGGGCAACATAACCCTAACGGGGGGCAAGAGCTACCAGAACCTCCAGAGGTGCATCGACATTCTGTATCCCTACTTGATTAAAAGCAAATCGCAGCACTGACCTGTTGGAGAGGTGCACCATCGGGTGCGTCCACGAAGTGGGTGTGTAAATGTGTAGAGGAGTCTACTTGTGTTGATAGGGTGGTTTAGAAGTGGCTTCGGTGTCCTTTTTCCATGCCTCATGTGGGTACCTCCCCAACGGAGGTAAAACGAGGACGCCAGCTGATTTCTCGTTAGAGGCGCGAGCTGGAGGAGTAGCCACTGGAGGTGTGAAAGTGGCGCGAGTCGGAAGAAGAGCAGGAGGAAGGGGCCCTGGAGGAAGACTCAGAAGGAATGGAAAACATTTTGTAATCAAAGCTGTTAATGTATTTTAGGTCTCTGAGTCGAATGGCTTTCTCCCGATCGTTGTGGTATGTGTTTATATTGTCGTCATATATGTTAATATAAAGTTCAAAGCACTCTGAAAAGCAGCTGTGGTGAGGAAGTTGAGTAAGTGGTTGGCGTTGGTCCATGTTTTGTGACAAGCAGGATTCAAGAAAGTCTTTTACATCTTCATCGAAATTGAGGTAGTCGAATTTATCCCCTGTGAAAGTGTCAATGAGGGCCTCTTCAAACACTTTTCCTATCATGTACGAGTAGGCTTTCTCCAGCTGTGTTTTGTCTTCCAGGAGGAAGCAGTTTGATGAGGGTTCACCATTTGCTGCGTCATTTGTCGAGCCGCTTGCTGCTCCGCGCGCCGCGGCGCTAATCTCCGGTGGGAGGTAATGCCAAAGGGTTTTGCTATACGTGCGTGTAGCGATCGTTTCGTCAATGTGGTGCAGGAGGAATCGTAGAGACTGCGTCGAGAGCAACCCTAGCGGAATGCCTCCATTCACCATCAAGCTGTCCTCCTTAACGAAGATGCGCGAACACTTTAATATGATCAGTGTAGGAATTTTTAAAAAACTCACAACGACTTTTATAATTTTGAGCATAATGCATTTGAGCTTAAATACTCTGAGCTTCAAGTCGATGCCGGAGAGGAACTCGCTGTATATAAATTCGTTCAGTGGGGTTCCATTAATGTACTTTGTTTTTTCAATTAGTCTATTGGTGATTTCTACTGAGATGGGGACGTACAAGCACTCTACTTGTTTCTCCTTGATCTCGGCTTGGAAGTTGCGCAGTGCGGCGTTTATTTCGGCTTCGATGGGTCCTAGGCGGGGTGTCTCCCTGCGCTCGTCTGCCGTGCGCTCGTCCGCATTGCTCGCGTCTGCCGTACTCTCCGCTTGCCACGCATTGTCGTCACCCATGGTCGACCTAGACGGTCCCCCCCCCCCGTGACGGATTTGCTTAAATTTGAGCACGCAAAAGAGCTCCATCTGCGTGCAATACACCTGCCACACGAAGGAGTGAGAGTGGACGCCTAAAAAATTCATGAACTTGACCCCTTTCTTGTAGGGAGGGAGTTTCTTCTTGCAGGACTCGATCAGTTGCACCTTGTCCAAGTGCTTCTGCTCACATGTGATCTCTTCTAACTTGCCGTGGATGTTCTTCTTGGTGAATTCATAGTAGAGGTCCTTTGTGAAGTAAACCAGTTTGTCCAGGCGATTGAGGTGGTGGTAGTTTTCGATTTCATCCCAGTGGGTCTCTTGCAAAAAATTCATTTGCTGGTAGTGTATGAACTCTAGTTTTGTGTTAAGGATGTACTGCAGGGTTCCGTTTTTCCTGCGCAGGGTTTCCGAGGGGGCCTCCTTTGCCCCTTCTCCACTCGCGTCTCCCTCCACTTCTTTACTCGCTTCTTTACTCGCTGCTGCATCCGCTTCGTTATTCACTTCGTTATGCGCTGCCGCGTCCGCTTCATTGTTGACGTCTTTGTTTGCGCCCCGCTTGTGCCCCCCCGGTAGGAAGACCCGGTGGATGTCCAGAATGTCCCCCATGCCGAGGACGAACTTTGCGTTGGAGAAAATGGAGTTCTTGTGCATCCTGCCGAGGAAGAAGTTGTACTTGTTGAGTAGAAGCTTCATGCTCTCCAACACCTCGAGGGACATATAAAATTGCTCATGAGAGACTTCGAGGATGTGAAAGAAGTAGTAGTAGTAATCGTATAAAGTCATTTCTTCAAAGGAACTCTCCACGATATTGCTGACCGAGACGTTTTCAAATTGCTCTAATATATCGACGAAGGAAAATTTGTGATAGGTTAGGATGAGGTAGAGGAGCATGTCCATGTGTGATGGCTTCATTATGAGGTAGTAGGTCATTTGTAAATTCATTAGAGATGTGCCTTCGCACAGGTAGTGCATCATGATGCTGAAGTAGTCGTTATTGCTTTTCAGCATTAGCTGGTTATTTTTAACGACAAAGTAGAGGTAGGACTCTTTTTGCTCCTTTATTTTGTTCACGAGTTCGAGGATATCCGCGTCGTTTCCGTCCTCCACAGGAGTTGGCCCTGTTGTAGACTGTCCCACTTCTGCTCTCCCAACGGCAGATTGCCCCTCCTGGTCATACACAATTTGAATCCTTTTCTTCTCGTTCTTCCTCCTATCGCTGCTATTGTTGATATTAAAAATGAACAGCTTCTTCTTCTCAACACCATTCTCGTCGATGATGGTAAGTGGCTTCTGTGCAATTGTGAGGGTATCGATTTTGAATTCATCAAATTTAAGTTTCAGTTGGTCCAGGATGAGGTCTTTTTTCCTGCTGTCCATTATTACTTTATTATTAAACAGAATTTCTTCTTTCCCTTTTCCTATTATCCTTTTATTGTTTTTCTCAGGGTTTAAACTTTGGGGTGGGTTATTCTTGCTTCCATTTTTTGCTTCCCAATAGTGCGGGTGTTTAGAGAGGTCTACGTGGTCATTTCGATCCATGCGATCCTTACTACTACTACCTCCACGTTGCTCATGTGGGTTCTCCACACATGGCGGGAGGTATTTTTCATGTTCGCTTTTATTATCTTTGAGGTAAACTTCCGTCGTTTGGCTGTTCTCCCCGTTTTCTAAGCGAGCACGATGGTGCTGATATGGGTAATCACAGTGGAAGGGGTCATCCTCATCGTCTTCGTCATGCTGTATCAAGTCTTCTATGTCTTCCTTGTGGGAGAAATTTACCACCCGGTCAATGAAAGTGTACCCAAAGGTAGACGTCTCACATACGTTAGGAGACATTTCATCCTGTCCACCCCTTTTACTCTCACTTGTTTCAGTCAAAAATTCTTTCTTCCTTTCGATTATCTGATTAAATTTAGCTATTTTTTCTTTTATGACTGGATCATTAAAGGAGAATAAATTTGAAATGTTGTCTTTTCTTTTTTGTTCATATATTAATTTTTTCAGGCAGGAGAAATCTGGGAGTTTTTGCTGTCCTTTGCTGACCCTTCGCTTGCCCCTCGTGTTCCTTTCGATTCGCTTGTTGATTGAGTTTCCAGAACTTTTCACGCCACGCAGGTGGCAGCCGGCCTTCGCACTCTTCCCCTTCCTCGGCGCCATGCCAGGTTACTACGCGGTGTGTTCCGGCGTGGCCAACTCGGCGCCGCCCCCGTACTAGTGAAAATTCTCCTGGTGGGAAGTACAAGTTGTGACGTTCGGCGTCCGTTTCTTCGCTAATTTACACACGTGCGCAATTACACAGCAGGGTGTGCGTTGATCCGTGAATATGTTAATGTGTTGTCACGTTGTTACGTTGTTACGTTGTTACGTTGTTACGTTGTTACGTTGTTACGTTGTTACGTTGTTACGTTGTTACGTTGTTACGTTGTTACGTTGTTACTCTGTTACGCTAGTGTGCTTTTTTTTTTTTTTTTTT